ACAGAAAGCAGAACATTAAACATGCTCATAGGTCTTTGCGGGCACAGGGCCATAGTTTCCTCTGTTGTGTCTGAGAAACACAGGAAAGAAAGTTATCCGAAATAATAGGAAAATGTGAGCACACAGTAATAGATCAAGGAACAGAGGTGCAGCTACTGCACATCAATCTATAGTTAACTATGTTTTTAGACTGACTAGTTTTTAAGTTGCTGGTGTCCCTTTGAGCTCTTCCTTGCCTATTAGTCGATAACTGTCCCAAATACTAAGACTAAGTTCATCCTCTGGACTCCCAGTCTCTATGGACTCAAAGCTGACACACTCAGATCTGTTACAGATCTCTAGCCTTGCTCCTGACAGTTTCCCCATAGGGCCAGAATCCAAAATACAATCAGTTTTGTTTTTTGACATGAAAAACAAAAAATCTTGGTCTATCCTTAACCAATACTGTCTGTCCACTGTGGATTATTCTTCTATTTCTGCTGGCAAAAAAGCTGAAATAGATTTATTTCCATGCACTGTTAAGTTCAAATTGGGTAATCAACTGCTTTCATACTGCTTCTCTGAAAGTTAATAAAAGACTTACATGTATATGTTCCTATTTAGAAATGCAGCTTTCTGTGAAGATAAAACATTTTTATTCTGGAGCTGTGGCTGCAAGACCTCCTTTTTTGTTGTACTATGTCAAGTTCTTAACATATCAGATAAGACATCTAACCAGGAGAAAAGAGCAAGTAAAACAACATTAGCAAGTAAAACCACAAGCTCTTCATGTTAATAAGAACATCTCACACTCACCCCCTTAAGCTTTACACCTTCTAGTTTCTAGGTCCTAAAGTGATATTTAGAATGTAATTACTCTTGCTCCATGACCAAATGAGTCAGAACATTGCCCTTTCAGCATCTCAAAAGAATATCAGCAGGAGGATACACCTTTAACAAGACCCTTCAGTATATTTTATTACAATTCTTCACCTTACAGATAACAAGGTCTTGACCTAAAAAAAAAATGCACAATTTAAACAATCCCTTACTCTGCCCAGAGCACAAATTACAATGTTCTCATAGGATGCTGTACCAAACTGTTCAACTATCCAAAGGCTGAATTAAAACTAATCAAACACACATACACACAAACATTGGGGAAAATGGAACAGGAAAACTCTTTTGGAGCAGTAAGAATAATAGGGATAAGGGCATCTCTAGCCTTTTCTTTAACTCCTATGGAACTGTTGTGTCTACAGCCAGGTCCACACCCCAAAATGTTAGAATGGCTATGTCGGTCAGCGGCATGGAATAAACTACACCAGCATTTCCTAAAGTGTGGTCCGCAGCCCAGTACCAGTCCTTAGAAAAAAATACCAGTCCTCAGAAAAATGATCATGCACGATCCTATTAATTTGTGTGACAGGGTAACAGCACCCCGCACTGCCGAGCGCAGCAGTGCAGCCCTCTTGAGAGAGCCCGCTGCCGCAGCGTATCTCCCGGGCATGCTCCTGGTTGGCGGGGCTAGATCCGGCTGGCGCAGGGACCCAGGGAGAAGACCAGGTGCTGTGCACACCAACGCAGAACACCTGGCACTTGATGCAGCTGGGGGAGCAGGCGCCAGCTGATAAAGCGGCCGGGATTGGGGCCACGTGTGGGGGTGGCACAACCCGCCTGACAGGTAGGGCCAGCAACACAATTTATTTGCATATTCAGCATTTGCTTATGAATATGCAAATAAATGTTACCGATCCTCCAAAAGTTTGTGAATGGGTTCACTGGTCCCCCGTATCAAAAAGATTGGGAACCACTGAAATACACCCAATAACCAAAATAGGTATGCTAGGAAAACACATAGCATTGACACAGCTACATTAACAGAAGAATGATAATAGCTAATGTGAGCATAAACTGAATAAATCCCAGGGGGCTCTGCTGCTACAGCTGCACTGGTATAGCTATATCTCCAAAGCCCATGTTGTATAGACAAGGGCTACATGATTCTGTTCCTACCAGTCAAATCCTGAATCCTCTCCCATATCCCCAGTGTAGAGGACTTTAAACACAATGGAATGTTAAATAATCAGTATAATACATAAATAACCAATAGACCAAGCTATAATCACATATAGTTTCTTCTGTAAGAACACACATCTTATGCTGATGTAAACAGCATGAGTAAGACGAAGCATCCCTGATGTGACAAACTGTGTTGGCAGCTTTCAATTAGAGCAGAGCACAGAGAAAACAGCAAAAGCTGGCAGAGCCACAAAGTACATGCCATTAATGAAGGACTAATTTTGTAATATACAGAAGCTCTACATAGGATGACATATTAAAATCATGCAGAAACATAAGCTGGTGCTGAATATGGCAGCTCATTTGTTAAGCAGAGCATCTGGCTGGGAGCACAAGACAACAGAGCTCTGGGATCTACACCTGCCTATTGGTCCCCTGGGGTAGTTCAAGGTGTTAGCCCTTATCTACAGAACTCCAAACGACCTAGAACCAGCCAACATGAGGGATCACCTCTCTCCCTGTGCCACACTGGGAGTTCTCAAGCTGGATCCACCCCATTATTAAAGAGAAGGAACCTCAGTCAAGACTCTGGAATTGCAATCAAAGCTCGGGATCTTGCTCCCCATTTTGACCAAAGCAGTCTCAAGCTGAAACCTTCTGGGTACAACACAAAAGCCATTGTGAGGGAAGGTTGAGAGTATGTTCTTGAGGGGAAGAGTTGGAGCAAGGGCCTCTTTAGTTTCTTCAATTTACTGGCTGGCTAAGTTAGTCCGATACTCACGCACAAATATTTCATGAAGCTGGGCTCTCAGCACTATATTACTCAGTTATGAAACCTGAAGCTTTTGTCTGACTACTTACAGTTGTTCAAATCTAAAGAAATGATAATACAGTACACTCCATGCAGAAGGTAAGCATGACAACTATGGACCACATAAGCCCGTGGGCATAGAATAATTTCACCCACCGGCAGTATTAACTTGACTATGTAGGAGAAGAGTGTATGTTGATATACCTATGTGCCTGCACAGATGAGAGTATGAGGACCATAGAACAGTGAGGGCGTGGACATAGAGAGGTCAGATCCAGCCTTTAGAATCCACATTTTGAAAGGGGTTGATAAGCCTCCTAGATCCATGGCATAGTGGTTCACTAGCTTACCATCCTCTGTGGCTGTCACACAAACATGAAGCACCTATTACTTTCACCTGACTTTGTCCCTATTATTAATATGGAAAAGGCTAATTTATATTCAGTGACATTTCTACTTATATGCCAAACCATCTTACATGATGAAATGTTAAAAAACAGACTAGTCAATCTAAAAAAAAATTGTTACAATAACTATACCAGCATTTGTGTGTTGCCCCAGCCTACTCCTATTACTTTACATTCAAATATTCCTATCACCAATGATAATTCTCTCCCTCGTCACTGGGTGAAAGACCCACACAAACTATGGCCCTGGTCCTGCAAAGATTTATGCATATGCTTAACATTCTATTTTCTTTGTTGCTCTCAATGACCTTAGTGGAATTTGTCATAGGACCCGAAATAAAAGCCAAGTGTCTTATATATAACCCCCTCTCCCCTCGTCGTCCCCCCAGTGTGGCTGTCTCTGATACAATCACAAGGAACTGGACTTGATGTGCCAAGTCCCTTCCAGTCCCACACCCTACACAAAGCAAAGCCATTATGCAATCAAATAAAACAAACAGGAAAAGTACTACAGGGGGTGCATAGGGAGGCCAATCCTTTTTAGGATAAACACTGACACCAGAAATTAAGTGACTCTGCTGCTACAGATGCCGAAGGACAGCACTCAAGACAAAAACTAATACAGTAATTCCTCATTTAACACTATAGAAAAGTTTCAGAAAATGACCGTGTTAAGTGAAAACATGTTATGTGGGGTCAATTTTCCCATTGAAAATAATGGAAAAGGTGGGGGTTGCATTTCAAGCAGAGTTGTCTGTTGGGACTGGGCCATAAGGTTGAGGGAGAAAGGGGACTGGGTTACAGCAGGGAGGGGAGGTGTTTGGCTCTGGGGAAGGGAAGGGAAGGAGAGGGGGACTGGGTTGGGAGTATGCCCCTGTGACGGGTCTGCTGTGACGCGCACTGCATCTGGCGAGGGGGGGGCGGTCACCAGGGAATGGCGTGGCGAGCGGCAAACCCTCCACCGCTTTGCAGGGAGGCGGGGGAAGCCCCGTGCAGCTGCTGGCAACGGGCTGGCAGGGGAAATCGTGTTATTCTGGGGACAGTCGTGTAATTCAAAAAACGTTCCCTAAAAAAAAAAAAATCATGCTATCGCGAAAACATGTTAAGCGGGCACGTGTTAAATGAGGAATTACTGTAAAAATTTCTAGATCAGGTCACATGCCATCAGGTAAGCTATTTTTTTCTCTTGAGGGATCAAAAACTCAGGAATAAAACTAATTTTATTTACAGAACTGATTGTTCTCCCAATTCTAAATCAGTATTCAGGGCTGGTAAGTGTATGCTCTTGAAAAGTTCTGTCAGTATTCCAGGCTTGGCACTGAAAATTAAGTTGAGGGAGGCAGGGCATGGAAAGAAAAGTGTGCTACTAATGGATTGCTTTTAATTTATTTATTTGATTGAAAACATTGGGCCAGAATTCCTTCCCTCCCACAGTGAGCCCTGCAGCAAAAGTTAAAGGGAAAGAACTTTCCTGTCACATTGGAGGATGTGCAGAGGGCGGGAGGCAAATAATAGGCTCCATAAAAATCTGAGTAACTCTTTAAAACACATCAATTATAATACTCAACTGAGGAGAGAGAATATAGCTTACCACACATAATAATTCTCAAAATATAGGAATCTGTGCCAAGCGTTCTACCAAGGAACAGATTATTGTTTAATATGGTTATCATAAAAGTTGGTTGCAATCCACTTCAAGATGACTTCCACTGGACTGCTAGAAATATGAGTTTATACTAATCTTACAAACAAAAATTATCAGTAATATTCACTGACCTTACCTTTTTAAGTCCCCAAAACAGAGTATCTTTTTCCAATTCAAATTCTCTTTCAAGTTCCTCTTCATATTCTGTTGAGAATAATACCCCGCATTAATAACTGCTCACCAAGAAAAACAAGAATCAGTAGGCCTGCCACATTAGTTTTAAACAGTATGAAATTCTTTATATCTACCTCAAAAACACATGAATACTGTAAGCAGGAATAGAGGTTCTTTATGTGGGAAAAAAATCAAGAGGGGAAAGGAGGGCACAATTTTTACATATAACCAAAATAGTCACTACTGTGCTCTCTAGTTTTTTGACCCTCGCACATTCTAGATTTCTGGCTGAGGTATGCATAGTCATCTCAACCCAGCATTTGATCCATGCAGGCCTATCACGCAAAGTGACCCAACTCCACCATACATTCAGCACACTGAATCTCCATGTACTGACTACACAGACACTCAACCTCCACTCACACAGTTCTGCTGTGTTGGAAGCCTTCCACTGCATTTCATCCTTAATGCATATTTTACCCTATTTCTAAATTTCTCACAAAAACAAAACAGGCAAATACATTGGCTCATGGTCTGTTTCCATGCACACAAAGCCAATTACTTCCATGACCAAAATCTAAGCACTGGTGTGATACTACGCTCACTGTGCAGTAAAAGATGAGAGAAGAGAAGGGTTTTTTTTCCTTATAAAACAAACTAAATGTCACCACACATATATATCCCTCCCTAAACACTATAAGGTATGAACTATTCACAGCAACTGATCACTTAATACCACAAGACACCTCAGATTTAAAAACCTAAACAAAACAGGTGAGGGCATAGATTCTATAAAAAGTACACACAGACCATGAAATATTTAGCAGGTACAGTTGAACTATTCCCACAAGTGCATTCCAATCAAATTAATTGTCCTCAAAGTCCACTTCAGATTCCAACTGAGGATAAGCTGCCTCAGAAATTCAAGGGTTTAAATGTGCTTAGTTGAGAAAAACCTTGAAGTGAAAGGCTAAATCCCTGATGACTCACACCTCGTATTTTCTATTAAACTTCAATATCTAAAGTTCAAGGGAACAAAGTTTCTGCCTCTGACTTTACTCTGGTAATCCAGTACTACTGAGTACAGAATACCTATGAAGATATTTTTAGTTTGTACTGAAATGGGAGCAAGTGTTTGTAGAAGCAGCAATGGAAATGTGCTGTTCTATATTTGTACACAAAACCTAGTCTTCCATTAATAATGCTTAACACGGAAATAGCACTTTATTCATTCAAAACGCTGCAGATACAATCAGATCTTGCAGCAGGCCTGTGAGGTAAGCAAATCAGTTTTATGCCTTGTTTACAAATGGGAAGACAGAACAGTGACAGAACCTCAAAGCCGCAAACCAAGTAAATCATAGAATCACAAGGCTGGAAGAAACCTCAGGAGGTCATTGAGTCCAGCCCCCCGCCCAGAGCAGGACCAGCCCTAAAGGAGAGAAGCAGGATTAGAACTCTAGCCACTCAAGTGAAACACGTCAGCTTCCATTTGTTAAATCAATTTACTGAAGTGCCAAGACCTACAGCATTCAGATCATTTTCTTCAAGTGGATTCCCTATGATCTTCAATGGTTTCTATTTCACCTTTTAATTAAATCATATTCAGACTCAGAGGAACCATAACAGAATGGATTATCTTCCTGCAAAACTGCAATTATGGTCAAAGTTACACTGTCCATACCTGGCCACTAACTGTACACACAGCTGGCCTGTGTGAATTGTGTGATTTTATCAATGTTACCCTCCTTCTTCCCCCTACTGTTTGCTGCATCTAATCTTAATTTATAATCTGATCCTGCTCCAAGAGCATGAACTCTTGTGCCTTTATAGAGCCTCTAACCAATAAAGCTTTGTGTTCACACACAGGTCTACTCACACAGTACAGCTTGCAGGGCAAGAGCATTAGACTGTGAGCTATTCAGAGTAGGAATCTCCTTTTCCTGTGTGTTTCAGTCAGGGGCTCGTCCTGATTGAGGCTCTGGGTGCTAACAGAATACAAATAATAAATCAGAATAATAATTAAACAGAAAGTAAAAATTAATTGGTACTGTAGCAATTCACAAAGCAAGTCCCAGACTACCTGAAGAGGCAACTATCATAAAGAGACAACAACAAAAAACTCAACATACTATCAGCAAATTATACAGAAAACAGCATGGCTTTATTTTAACCCCAGGACCTGAAGAGTCATCCATAGGGCATATTCTGAATACAGTTGCAAAGAATTAAGTGTTGGCTAGTTCACTAATCTTTCCATACAAAAGATTTTGGTGCTAGGAATTATAATCTCAGATGAAATTATGTTATTATATAGGGTTGGTTTATCTGACTAAGCATAAAACATGAAGTATATACTGATCTTCAATTCCAGTGTTTTAGGCTTGTTTGAGATCTCCCTCTAGTGGGAAAAATAAAGCACAGGACTTAAATATAACTTCAATAAAATAATAATGATCTTTGTAATCCTTTTCAGAGAAAATATCATGAAGAATCAATTTTTTTTAAGTGCTTCTACTTACTATCTGGAATAGATCCTGCATACTCTTACACACATACTTCACCTTACTCATGCAGTGTGTAATTCACTAATTGTTTAGCTAACAAAAAAAATTATTGACTACATGATTAATCGATGAGCTACCACTCAGTCTCGGCTCCTCGCTGCAGCTCTGGGACTTGGAGAGCCTGGTCTAGGCATATGAACTCACATGACCTCTGCTCTATGGTGTCCAGACATTCCTCCTTGCTAGTGCAGTCATATGAGGTCCAGCCCTTCAGCTGAGCCCTGGACAGTCTATCCTTCCAGAGTTGTCAATGACCACAAACTGTCCTCTGGATGTGGTAAAGTTCTGGTCTTCAAGACAGTTTATGGAAAACTGTGCCCTCATAGGCGAATATGAAAGAGTAGTGGAAGGGTATGAAGATCTGAGGTCATCTGATCAGCCAGCTTTTCCTAGAGCTAAGGACTGGAGGTCTCTCCTTGCGGCTCTGCCACCAACTATACTATGCCCTCCACTTCCTCATCTCTCAGTATTATGGTGAAGCTGACTGAGTCTCCACTAGTTCCCTGGCCTTGAGCAGCACATAATGTAGTTTGTATACCCCATCACAACAGGAAATACAGGTAGCCGAGTTGGCAGGAACAGCGAATGAAGAACTAATTACACACAAAGGGCCTTTACCTGCATGTAGTACATGGTCAATTTCACATACTGTGATTAGTCCCACTGACTTCAGTTGAACTAATCTTACAGTGTGTAAAGTTACTTTAACTTACAGTGTGTAAAGCGCTTAAGCACATTCTTTTCCCGAGCTGTGGTCCAGATAGGCATGTGTGAAAGACACTGGCATTGATTTTATAATACCTGTGCACAATTTCAGGCTATGGTTAGTAAAGCTATAAAGAGGGAGAGGACAGTGAAGCTGCAGAAAAAGCAGAAGCATTCCTGAAATAGTCTCTTGTGGCATTTTGAGAGAGAGAAAGTTCTGCAGCAGTAGGGGGGAAAAAGGATCACTAAAAAGTCCTACACAAAAATGTTAGAGTATTATTTACAGCAATATTTGTGGTATGTGGCCCATGTTAAATGATTGATGCTTCTCAATGCCAGCACAGAAGCTGTTACAGTAATTCCTTTTGCTATGACTAACTCATAGATCTATATGAGTTATCAGTCAAGTATGTACTTCTTCCCAGACACAGAACGGTTTGCTGCTCAAGTATGGAAAACTGACAAAAGAACTCTCTTTATTACAGATGTTAAAGGCTAACTGGTTAAGGGTGATGTTTACCAGGTAACAGTTAACTGGCATCCAGGAGCAGCCCCTCCCCATAGGTGGAAGGCTGTTCCAGCCCCACCGTGCCCCCTGTGCAGGGCTGCCAGCAGGTAGCAGGGGCTGCTCTAGCCTGACCCCAGCAGGCAGGGTGAGCCAGACTCCCGCTCACTCTTTTACATAGTTAAATGCAGTTTTAGCACAGCGTTTAACCATTTAGCCAATGAAATGGGATTTTACATCCCTACTGTTAATTTGAGCGATTACGCTAAATGTCAGACACTACAAGAGAAAAATATAATCTCCTTCCCTTGCTAATTCTGCAACCTTGAGTTAGACTGGGCAACTCTCATTAGGGAGCATTTACTCACATGAATTGTGCCAATGACCTCTCCGGGCTTTCAATCAGTTCTGAAGAGCATAAGTGTTTGCAAGACTGAGCACTGACTGACTTGCTCAAAGCTACAAAAAGAAAGTGTCAGAAAGCAGAACTCAAAAGTTCCTGGATTCTAGTCCTGTGGCCAGACCTCTCCTGTCTCTCAAAAATTGTAATATAGGACCTGATCTTGCAAATACTTGTGCATGTACTAAGCTTTAAGCACATCTGTAGATTTAAACAAGACTACTCAGACTAGAAGTGAAACACTTATGTAAATATGCAGAAAATCAGGACCTCATTTCTCAGGTGAAATATATTACAAAATTATTTTAAAAAACATTTATTCTCATACATAACATTTATAGTTTGATCAATCAAGGCAATATAGCTTTTAATCACAAATGTCAAGATACTTCTTTCCAACTGTCCTCCAAATGCCCTTAAACACAAGCTCTGAAAAAGCTTGCGCAACCTGCAACCTCTTATTTATTTTATACTGTTAATTCGTAGTAAGAGAGGGTATAAGTACCTTCAGTTCAAGAGTCTCAGAGGGAAACACTCTTGGAGCCTGCCTGGAAATGCATTAAATACGAAAACGTAGCTAATAACTGTCTATCATGAACCTCAAAGGCAAGAAACAACAACAAGAATAAATATGGCAGCCTTACTGACTTACCTCTGGAGACTTTGTATACTTCATAGAAGGAATAAAAGTGGAAGCCAAATGAAAGAAGCAAGTAAAGAAACATTTCCCATAGTGGCAGCATCGCTACTTGCAACATAAGTTTCTCTGGTCTCTAGTTCTCCTAGATGATGTCCTTATTGTTAGATCCTTAAAAAACAGTAAGAAATTACACATAGTTCGGTATGGTGTGCATTTAACAGCAACAACCAGTTGAAAAAGATGGACTATCATAAATCTAGTCTGATATACTGAAGTATTTATAAGATAATTATGAATCCTTTGCTTTTTGGGTGGGTATAATTTTCTTATTGTTTTCTGAAATAAGACTGCTACACTTAGCAACTTTTTGGCTTTTAAATATTTCTTAACATGACAAAGTCTCATTATAATAAAGCAGTGGTTCAAACTTTTTTCCATCTCCCTCTCAACTGCATGAATCATAGAATCCTAGGGCTGGAAGAGACCTCAGGAGGTCATCAAGTCCAGCCCCTGCCAAAAGCAGGACCAATCCCAACTAAATCATCCCAGCTAGGGCTTTGTCAAGCTGATACTTAAAACCCTGTAGGGAAGGGGATTCCACCACCTCCCTAGGGAGCCTATTCCAGTACTTCACCACCCTCCTTTAATTTAATTCTGTAGACACTAACAAGTACATTGCAGTTCTATGGCTATCCACAGGCTACCATATGAGAACTGCTTTAGATATTGCAGCACTGAGAGCCTGATCCAAAGTTCACTGAAATCAATGGCAATATTCTCATTGATGTTAGTGGGACCCTGTAAGAGAACCTCAGTCAGATGGCTACAAATAATTATTTGAAGACTCATTTTAGCTCAATATTAGGACAAGTTCTCCCAGTGCAAATCCCAACAGATCAAACTGCTGAAATCAATGCCCTGTTTGTGGTTCACACTCCTCGTGTAATTATGCTGTTTAGTAAATCCTTGCTGAAACAGTATGTAGGAAATCCACCTGGCAGGCTGTGTTGTGTTGCACACTTGTGGCTTGAATGTATCAATGGCAATGACTAACATTTTCCAAATATCACTGGGCTGAGTACACAAATATAACATGAGGGTGGAAGGAAAATGGGGGTCAGCAAAGTCTCTCTCTAAATACAGGCAGTCCCCGAGTTACGCGGATCCGACTTATGTCGGATCCGCAGTTACGAACGGGGTTTGCTCCGCGTCTCCCTGGTCTGCTGGAGACCAGCAGACCAGGGAGACGGGGAGCAAAGCCTCTGAGGACGCCGGCAGTGGGACAGCCGCGGCGCGTCTGGGCTGTCCCGCTGCCCACGTGCTCCGCGTCTCCCTGGTCTGTCTCCCTGGGCTGCTAGAGCAGACCAGGGAGACGCCGAGCGACGTTT